AAATACTAATTTATATATATATATATATATATATATATATATATAAATATTGCTCCCACCACTTAAAATTCCTAGATCTGTCCCTATGTTATATAGGCTTTTATTGTAAAAGAACTGCAACCAACAATATTCCACAAAATTAAATTACAAGTATCCACTTACTCAGGAGCGGGCTTATTTATCTTGGATATAATATCATTTGCAAAAATTTAACACATTTGTCTTCTGATTTTACCATTTCAATGAAGTCATGCATTTACAATAGCAAACTATTAAGAAAAAAGTTCACCAATGATAAGCCAGCTAAATGAAACCTGAAGTATGCTGTAGACAGGAACTCCATTTTCTTGCAAGACAGATGGGTTTAGCATAGTGACAAGCTGAAAAAGCAGATCAGGTTGTGCATCAAAAAGATCAGGAAGACTGCTTCTCATCACCTACAAGGAAGTAGATCATTTTACTGACATTGTCAATAAATATTTCTCCACTAACAGTTAGAACTATGAATTCTTAAAATAACAATTTATGAAATGTTTGAATTGTGGGCTTTGGCGGTAACGGAAGGAAGAGTTAGTGTTTCAACTTTCAATTTTCGATTGAGAGTGATAAAAAAAATTTTTGAAAAAGAATAATGGATGATTGGATGGTTACATGGTAATACTTCCTTTTAAAAAATGTACAAAATTTCAAATAATAAAATATAAATTCAAATTGAAAGATTAACTCTACCTTTCCTTCCTATAAGTGCCTCCATCTAAAAATTAATTTTAGAAAACCACCATTTTAAGTGATTAATACAAATAAATATAACCCAACGGTATATTTTTTTTTTTCTTCAGATTTTAGATTTCAATATGGGAGATTAAAAACATAACATGTAATAAACAAATAAATTCACATAAAACGAAATGTGATCAATACTACCAAACCTTAAATAAAAATCATAATGATCTCATAAATTCTAGCAATAATAATTAACAGAGTTATCTAATTGAAAAATCATTTTCTAAAAATTCCTAATGTTTAAGAGTTTACACTTAGCATAACTGTATTTTATTTCACGGGAGACCACTGGATAACATTTTGATAATATATTATATAGCTGCCCAAATGTAATAATCTCATTACATGAGTATTAGTTTGTTTATATAATTGAAACTTCAATAACATAGTAAAAATTATGCAAAAATAAAACAACAAATTCCAATCATCACTTGAAAGCTATTAATTAAAAAATTCCTCTACATAGAAACGCTATTTACAAGTATCCATTATTTGGAAAAGGTAGCCAAGAATTTTATGGTTTTATTAGTATTCCACCTATTCTCTTGTTTGTTTGTTTTTTCATTTTAGACAAAAAATAACATGATTTTTTAATAAATGAGTAGAATCAATTTGAGCTATTCCCTCTTTTTTTGTTTATCAAAAAGAATGTTGCTTCATTGTCATGAACATACATCATTTTCACCCACAGTTACAGTGTGCATGCAAATGTTTAAGTGCAAAGACACTACAATACACAGGTAAATAAGCAGGCTTCATTAGCAAGTATAACAAAATAATTTTAGCTGATTCTGCTGGAAATCTTTAATACCACAAGTGCAAGGTTCGAAGAAGCAACAGAATAAAAAGTCCATTAAATATTTTGTTTTTAAAAAAGATAGAAAAAGTAATAGTGTAAAGATATAACAAGAAACCGAAACCTACCTTCTCAAAAGTACTGGCCTGATTACCAGGCACACTGTACCAGCACTTTGCCTCTCCCCTAGAACAAAATAGAAATCAGAACCAAAATTGCAGGAAGAAAAAATAAAGTGAGGCACCTAGCACTTATGAATCCAAATATATATTTAAAAAAATAGATAAGATAATAAAACAATTGCAAATTCTAGCAGTTGAGGTTTCACACTATGGCCCGAGGATAAGCAAAACCAAAGAAATGTGGAGAAAATAAAAGAAAAGAAGAGAGAATAAAATGCCAAATTCATGAATTCTTTGATCTGCAAATAAATGTTGTTAGCCAAATTTAAGTCTTGAGCAAACCAAAGGTCCAAGGCTGAGTATACCACAATTTTCTGAGCTTTCCAAAGAAAAAAAAAAGGTGGCTTAGTCTAAACGATTAGAATTTCACATTCGAATGTAGAAGCCATACAAAATTAAACAAGAATCATATATTTCTGCAGGAGGAGAATTTGAAACTAAAATGGATATAAAGATATCATCGAAAAACTGCTTCTTTTCTTTTTTCGAACTAAACATCAACATTAATTCAATGAAGGTAAAAGTTGATGATTTACTTTCCCATTGCTACAAAATTTTGGCGAGTTGTATCTTCTGTATGTAACAAACTATGCTCAGAAAAAATGTGGGATAGTCTAAATGATTATAATTTCATATTAGAATGTAGAAGAACTACAAAGTTAAACAATAATCATATATTTCATTAGGAGGAAAGACTATCCAATAGAAAATCTGAAACTAAAATGGATACGAGGATATTATAGAAAAACCATTTGTTTTTTCTTCGTTTTTAGAGCTAAACATCAACATTAATTGATCAAAGGCAACAATTCATGATTAAAATTGTTTGCTTTCCTGTTGCTATAAAATTTTGGCAGTTTATATTTTCTGAATGTATTAAGTTATGCTCAGAAAAAATGAGGCATGGTCTAAACGATTGGCATTTCCCATTTTAATGTAGAAGCAATACAAAATTAAACAAGAATGATATATTTCTGCAGGAAGAGCAGACTGCCCAAGAGAAAGTTTGAAATTAAAACATAAGTGTAGATCGTCTAAAGTAAAATGGTGAAGTATTTGGTAAAGTAACAAAACAATTGGCCCAATAACAGTTACACTACAGAACGTGTCACACCTAATCTTTTCTTTATATAAATTTATATTGTTTTTATTTTATTTAGGTAAAGCATAACTCTAATATTTTACTTTACAAGATCTACTCACTGTTTAAAATTATAAATTCCAGTATTCTATTTTTAATTAAAACATGGAAATATTTAATTCGTTGTAAAGTAAATATATTTAAGTATTAAAACTGAATTAAAAAAATAAGAAAAAAAATAAATGTATATACACACTTGCAGATATTTAAAACATATATTTTTATTATTATATCTGTAATATTATGTATATATACTAAGTATATATACTTATATAATAAATAAATAAAATGTGTGTGTATGTGTGGTTGTGAGTAACATATATATATACATATTATTTTCAAATATACACACACACATTAAAGATTTAAAAAAAAACGAGAATATTTGAAAATATAATTTATAAAATATTAATTAGAGTTATGATTTATAAACCCTAAACCCTAAATTTGCATAAAGAAAATATTAGGTGTGGTAAGTTTTATAGTGCAACTGTTATATGAACCAATTATGTTGTTACTCTACCAAATACTTTACTATTTTACTTTAGTGGATCTGCACTCTCAAAACACATACAACAATATTATAGAAAAACTATTTGTTCTTTTTTTTTTTTTAAAACTAAACATAAATTTTAATTGAATGAAGGTAACAGTAGTTGATGTTTTAGTATCCTGTTGCCACAATATTTTGGCAGTTGTATGAAGGTAATAGTCATGCTCAGAAAAATAAATGTTAAGTAATTGCTCCAATCCCATGCAAATGAGAATGGGATTCAGGTAGACAATTTGTAGGACTGTTACTGGTTTTTGGTATAAGAGACTTTGGCTTGAACTAATATGGAATGCAAAGAGCACTTCTGTAGTTCTTCTGATATCATATTTTGCTATGTAAGTTTCTGTGTTCTCAAATAGATGATATTATAAAATCACTAGGATCGAGCTAGTGGTAAGGGGTTTGGATAATTTGCTACAGTTCATAACTTCATTATCACTATTGTACTGCAAAAAAATAGAAGATATTGCATTTGTAGACCTTTTTTGAACTCTTCATGATTCTTTTCATAATAATTTTAACATCAAAAGTGCACATGATTAGTAACAAGTTTGATACAGTTAAATCTTCCCTAATACAACCAATTCTTGCTCCTTTGATCATGTTATTATTCATTGAACATGTTAGCTTAATAAATTGCTGAGATTCCAACTCTATACGGCCATAAACTATCCTATTAACATACAAAAAACACATAACTCATCAAAGAAAGGGTTTTATTTCGTTTGAAAACAAACAAGAGTTGATAAATTGATGGCATTCATGATTAATATATATTACAGAAAAAAATACAATTGTATACGGACAGCACAAACAAATAAAAGTAAGGCATACCAGTGTAGATAATTCATTGAGTAAAAGCAGTGATCTTCAAAATGCCAGCAAAAAGATGAGAATAGCATCCCAATATATAGCCAGGGTACCATGACACCAGTGATATTGTGATGAACAGCTCGTAGCATTGAGCCTTTCAACTTAGGCAAGTTATTAAGATTCCATGGGTTAGTTGAGTATTCTTGCCATACTTTGTCATCAATAGATTGTGGTTTCTGGTCAGTTTCACGTGGGAAACCACTCCCATAAACAGACGTATCCAAATCATTTCCATACATAACCTCAACCTCACCAACCAATCCCTCCACAATATCCCAAAATTTTTTCTCTATTTGCACCCTTGAAACAGGTCCTGATCCAAACCATCTCCTCCTTGAGCGATCCGCTATGCGTCTAAAAGCTTCCAATGAATATTGCTTCCCAGGCACAAAACCAAAGCTGTCCCTGTCAGAATTCAAGCAGTTGAAACAATACCAATTCCCCGGAGGAACTTGCTTCAGTGGTGGGGAAAGACAATAAGTATGCCAGCCCTTATCACACCTGTCACACAAAAGCATGACTTCCCCGTGCAAACCACTTTTACATTGCTCACAAATCTGATCATGCTCCTCTTGCACTTTGCTATCCTTCCGTTTTGAACCATCCACACTCTTGTGATTCCTCTTGGATACCACAGCTTGCACTCCATGATCACTCTTGTGGTGGTCCTCATGCACGCCTTTCTTACAACTCTGAGCCGTCCCTTGATTCATCCTATTAATAAAATTCTCATAATCATACAAATGCTCCCTGTACAACTGACACAACACATGCTTAGCACAATCCGAAATCTTCCCAGACCTCACAAACCGAGCAACATCCCCCCATTTCTTCCCATCAACAACCTTATCATACCCGCCAAAGCGCTTCACGGCATTGAACAGCTTACACAAGTCCAGCTCCTCGCCCTCGAACACAACCCTCTTCCTGGACTTCTTACCACACTGCTCCCTCAAAAACCTAGAGTACTCCAAGTCAAAGGTCTTGGAGTCTGAGGCAGCAGGGCGTGCCTGGAGCTTGTGAATGGCCTGAGACTTGGTAGGGGAAGTGAAAGTGTCGG